TAAATAAGAATTGTTAATTGTGTTGTTTAAAGCTTCTATTTTGTCTACTGTTGATTTCTCACAGGTATAGTGAAGTCACTCAGTCGTGTCTGACTCTTTGTGATCACACAGACTGTAGCCAACCAGGCTCCTCTGTCCATGGGATTCTCCAGGCAAGGAACACTGGAGTGGGTTGCCCTTTCCTTCTCCAGGGGATCTTCCTGAACCAGGGATCGGACCTGGCTCTTACCTCATTGCAGCCAGATGCTTTACCGTCTGAACCACCAGGGAAGCCCTTTCTTACAGGTACAGTATAATCTTAAATAGTAGATTTTTAAAAATAATTTATGTTAATACCAGTTTTAATATAGAGTCTAGGACAGCTATCTTATACATAAATGTTTATTATTATATATTTTAATAGACTGTAGCTTTCCAGAGTATAAAATGTCCCTCTGACACATTCAATGGGCTCCTCAGTAGCGCTAGTAGTAAAGTACCTGCCTGCTGATACAGGAGACGTAAAAGACTCAGGTTTGATCCCTGGGTCAGGAAGATCCCCTAGAGGGGGCTCAGCAACCCATTCCAGGATTCTTGTCTGGAGAATCCCACGGACAGAGGAGCCTGGTAGGCTCAGTCCTTGGGGTCACAAAGAGTCAGACACGACTGAAGCGACTTGGCATGCATGACATGGTCAATACCTATTAGTCTAAAGTTTGTTTTGTCTTAAATTGACTTTACCACAATGCTTAACTTTTGTTTGTGTTTGCTTTCTTTGTACTTTTTTCTAGCCACTGTGAGTCGTATATAGCTTAATTTTTGGAAACTCCATACAGAGTTCAGAAACTCTGCATTTTAATAGAAGACTAACCATTAACATTTTTTGTGTATGTGTGATTAATGACATGTTTGAACTTATTTATCAGATTACCATGTTTCCTCTTTCCTTCTTTTGTTAAATAGAGCACATGTTTTTGCCACATGCGTTTTTTCTTCTCTAGTGGTTTTGGTAATTCACATAACTAATTGGTATATAATTTATAATAGTATTCACAAAATATTAGTTTTGTTGAACTTATTTATGCTTTTGGTTAGATCTAATATATAACTCTATCATTTACCATAATTATATAGATATGTACAAACACATACATACACATATAATATATATTTAGTTGAACTTAAATGTGGTCTATGAAAAGGTAAGAACCTTAGAACACCATAAATTATCTCCCTCCCCAAAGTGCTTACTCCTAGCCCTCTATCACCTTCCTCTGTTGAAATCATCAGATATTTTAGTACCAGAAATTTGATTCCTACTTGATTTTTTACATTATGCCTCACAAATATTTAAATGTAACTAGGATCGTTGGTTTGTTTGCTCTCTACTTTTTCTGTTGGCCTACTTCTTCCATGTTCTTGGGCTCTTTTTTATTTCCTTCTGTTTTATACTGAAGAGTAATTATTTTTAGAGAACAATTGTGTGTGGTAAATTTTGACTCATTGCATATCTGAAAATGTCATTATTTTTTTGCCCTCCAATTTGAATATTAGCTTTTAAGTGTAGTATTTGAGGTTTAAAACCAGTTTTTTTTGGTGATAATGTTAAAGCTGTACTGTAAAATATAGCTTCACTATTTTTTCACTCTGTGATGCCAAAGAGATGATTCTTGCCCATCTTATATGTGGGATGGTTTTGTAGATAATCTACATTTTTCCACTCTAAAATCTTGCAGGATTTTGTTTTTCTCATCTTTGGAATTCTTAATCCTCAGCATAGTGGCCGAGGTACATGTCTCTTCTCATTCATCTTGTTTGGTATTCCATAAGCTCTTTCAACTGTGCCATTAGACCTAAAATTTTCTTCTGGATTTATGTGATTTCTTTGTCATTTTCTCCCTCTCCAGTTTGTTTGTTCTTTCTGGCACTCTTATTAAATAGATGTTGGAATTTGCTTTTTTTGTCTATTAACTTTTTTCTCATGTTTTCCGTGTTTCTTTGTGCTGTGTTCTAGATTTCTTTGGCTCCATCCTCAACTCATGGATTTACTATCTAGCTGTGCACATCTATCTAGCTGCTGTGCACATTTCTCTACTCAATTCATCTGTCAAAGTTGTCTTCGTTTGTCTGTCTTTTTTTTTTTTAACAATTCAACTACTTTAACTTTGTTTCCACAAAATCTATTTCTTTCCTTATGTATATAGTGTTCTCAAAGAACTGATAATAATTATAGTTTGTTTTCTTTATTTCATCTGTCTCCTTTTTTGTTATTTTATTTATTTGCTTATATAAATTTTCTTTATTTTGTTTTTTTCTGAAATTATTTTTAATTCTTTTGTTTTCTAAAGATTTTGTATTTAAGTAACCCTCATTAAGTTATCCTCATCTGAATGTGGCTTCTGGTTATGTTTATCATAAACTCTTTGGTGATTTTGAGTGAAAGATAAAAATACTTCTAGTTGTGTAGACTGCTTACAGCTGTCTTTTCCATTTTCAAGAGCTGTTGCTGGTTTATCACTTTAAATGTAAATATATTTTTTATTTCATGATATTTTAAACAGAATAGTGGGACATATATTTCTTTCTCTGTATTAACCCAATTCTCTTTTAACTAATTTTAAATAGTTAAAATGAAGATTATTATATTTTCTCTCTTACTATATTTGTAAGTAGATATCTGTATATCAAAGACATCATTTTCCTTTTCTTTTGTGGTACCTGAGGCATAAGAAGAGGTGGAGATGTCTATTCATTCTGCCATATTGATCTAATCCTCTCAGTAGTTTGTAACCACTAAAATAGTGATAATCAAATTCACTCTTAAAAGTGTATACTGAATCTTATGCTTTGTATTCCATTCATGCTTTGCACATGATGTCTGTTTGATAAACTTTTGCAGAATTGAAACACATTAAACTGAATGTTAAAGTTCCCTAAGCATTAACACTTTTGTTTATTAAGTTTAGAGTAAGCATGAATCTCCACAGAGGCTGAAAGAAGAATTGTAACCATTCTTACAAAATAGAGGGATGAAATCAAGTATCTAATTTCAGTGATTTTTTAAAAATGTGTGAATCAGCAATTTATTCAGCTGAAAAAAATCTCTTGTTTTAGTTCAAGGGCAGTATTGTGAATACATGAATCAGAGTGTCCTGATTTCAATAATTTTCTTCACAGATCTTTCTCACTAGAAGAAAATATAAATCACTAATATTATGTCTCATTTTGTAATCATTTGGACTCTTTTCATTGGATCCAGTGAGTAATAGTCTCTTTCATGGGTAAAAAAAGAGAAAAATAAAAATGAAAGTGTCTATTCTCTCCAATATGTTATGTCTGATTTATCTCTGTATCAGTATGAGTGAATTTTTAGATGATAACAGGAAAAGTGGAAGTGACTCTTTTAAAATTTATGTGGTTTTTTTCTTCCCAAACATAGCAATAAACAAAGGAAATTTATTTTTTAGTTAATACCCACTCTGTACTAGAGGACTTCCCAGGTGGCTCAGCAGTAAAAAATCCACATGCAATGCAGAAGACCTGGGTTCGATCCCTGGCTTGGGAAGATCCCCTGGAGAAGGAAATGGCAACCCACTCAGTATTCTTGTCTGAAAAATCCCATGGACAGAGGGGCCTGTCATGCTACAGTCCATGGGTAGGAAAGAGTTGGACATGACCGAGCACACACAAACACACACACACTATGCTAGAACTGTGCTGGCTATGAGGTCTCTGTGTGTATCTCCACCATGGGGGCAGATCCATTAAAACTTAGAAGATTTTCTTCACATTTAGGATGGTTAGTACCAAAAGAAAACAAGTAAACAGAAAGAAAATAAGTTTGGGTAAGGATGAAGAAAAAAAAGAATTCTTATGCTTTGCTGGTTGGACTGCAAAATGGTCCAGCCACTGGTATAGTGGATCCTCAAAAAGTTAAAAATAGAATTATCATATGGTCCAGCCATTCTGCTTCCAGGTGTATGCCCCAGAGAATTGAAAACAGGAACTCAAATAGGTATTTACGTACTCATGTTCTCAGCAGCATTATTTACAATAGCCAAAAGGTGGATGAAACCCAAGTATCTATTATCAAATGTATGGATCAGAAAAATGTGGTATACACCTGAAACAGAACATTATTCATCCTTAAAAAGAAATTCTGACACATGCCACAAGGTGGATGAATCTGGAGGATGCTGTGCTAAATGAAATCAGTTCAGTTCAGTCACTCAGTTTTGTCCAACTCTTTGCAACCCCATGGACTGCAGCATGCCAGGCTTCCCTGTCTATCACCAACTCCTGGGGCTGGCTCAAACTCATGTCAGTTGAATCAGTGATGCCATCCAACCCTTTCATCCTCTGTTGTCCCTTTCTCCTGCCTTCCATCTTTCCCAACATCAGGGTCTTTTCAAATGAGTCAGTTCTTCGCATCAGGTGGCCAAAGTATTGGAGTTTCAACTTCAGCCTCAGTCCTTCCAATGAATACTCAGGACTGATTCCCTTCAGGATGGACAGGTTGGATCTCCTTGCAGTCCAAGTGACTCTCAAGAGTCTTCTCCAACCCCACAGTTCAAAAGCATCCATTCTTCGGTGCTCGGCTTTCTTTATAGTCCAAATTTTACATCCATACACGACTACTGGAAAAACCATCACTTTGACTAGATAGACCTTTGTTGGCAAAGTAATGTCCCTGGCTGGCTTTTAATAGGCTGTCTAGGTTGGTCATAGTTTTTCTTCCAAGGAGCAAGCGTCTTTTAATTTCATGGCTGCGTCACCATCTGCAGTGATTTTGGAGCCCCCCAAAATAAAGTCTGTCACTGTTTCCCCATCTATTTGCCATGAAGTGATGGGACCAGATTCCATGATCTTCGTTTTCTGAATGCCAGGTTTTTAGCCAACTTTTTCACTCTCCTCTTTCATTTTCATCAAGAGGCTGTTTAGTTCTTCTTTACTTTCTGCCATGATGGTGCTATCACCTAAGTACATTTTACCACACATACCAAAAAAACAAAAACAAAAACAAAAAACAAACCCTCATTTGAAGGGTTAAGTAACATTTCTAAGTTCTATATTGTTAAGTAATAAAGTGAAAATTCCAATCCAGTTACTTCATTCATTTATTCAATCAGCAAACTTTACTGTGTTCCTACTGTGCTAGCCGGACACTGTGCTGGGGCTAGAATACTTGAGAGAATAAAGGAAAGATCCCTGCCCACTTGGAACTTATATTCAAGCTGGAGGAGAGAGACAATAAATCAAAATAATTAAAGTATAAGTTATGTGGTATGTGAGAAGGTGATAAATGCTCGTGATAAAAAGAAAATTGGAACAAGGAAGGAGGAACCAGGGCTGCCAGTGTAACTGACTTCTAAACTCAGGCTTCATCCATAAACCACTGTTGTCTGTCAGGATATAATATTTCAGAAAAAATATGGGGATTTTCTTTATTTTGGAAGAATTTTTGTTTTGTCTGTTTTCCCTTTTCCTGCAAGTAATTTATTAAGAAAGTAAAAATAAGGCATGTTTTATTTCTCTAAGAATCAGACGAGAGCTCTTTACAACAATAAATTGAAATAATATTTCTTCTCTAAGAAAACCTCAACATGTAGGTTATTGTCCCTTTTGCAAATGTAGGAAATAAAAGACATGTGGAGCTTGGAGAAGACTCGTGCACCTCAAATGGGAAAAATGCTCTTGAGCAATACAAGAGTTTTCAGACTTCCAAATATGGCTATTAGTATATTTGTATTAAAATCTTGGATCTGGATTTTACTACTGTGTGGCCTTGAGCAAGCCAGATTTTCTTACAAGAAAAATGAACATAAAAACATCGGCTCTATTCACTTTCTAAAGCTATTGTGATAACCAAATAATATTGTCTTAGAGAAACAGTTATTTACCATGCACTATGTAAAGATGACTAAGGCACTGGTAATCTGTGCTAAGCCGCTCAGTTGTGTCCAAATTTTTGTGACTTTATGGATCGTAGCCCACCGGCTTCTCTGTCCATGGGATTTTCCAGGCAAGAATACTGCAGTGGGTTGTCGTGCCCTTCTCTAGGGGATCTTCCTCACCCAGGGATCTAACCCACGTCTCTTAATGTCTCCTGCATTGGCAGGTGGGTTCTTTACCACTAGTGCAACTTTGGGAAGCCTCCAGGTAATACTGTTATTGTTATTTTTATGTTTTTATACGTGATTCCTTTTATACTGAATATGAAGGCCTGATTTTGGAAGACCCACAGTTGCCCTAGATGTATGCTGAAGCTTTAAACATTCTCATATCATAAAGACGGGAAAGAAGAACCAACATCTTCCTACCCAATGTCAGTGGAACCACTGAAGCTCTAGTCTTAGCCTCATAAAATGTCTTCAGTGTGGCATGAGGAATCACTAATGAAGCCATCAGAATCACAGTCTTGCAATCTGTCATTTTAAAGAGATTTCCTGAAGTTTTCTTCAGTTTAGCATTTTTTTTTCTCCAATAGGAAAATAATTTCCCCCTTTTATATTCTTAAGTCTGTGAGTTCAATAAATGGTGAAAACCTAAAGACAAAAAAAAAGAAAAGAAAGAAAGAAGCCAATGAAAAATTTACAGCCCAGTGTATACGTCCTTTACCAGTGTAACAAAGCTAGGTTTTACTCACCAAATGAAAATGCTTAGGGTTAACGTGGCCATTAGATCACCATTGGTGTGTAAGTATATGCATGTCTGCACTGAGACACTGCCTTGTTAAACAGTGTGTGACAAGTATGTCCATCCTAGGAGGAAGTGATTGCTCATGTACAAGATAAAGAACTCAATTCATGCTGCAGCTTAAAAAAAAATTAATGCAGTATATTTATGTATTGCACTGCTACACTGTATTGTAATTAAGCGTGTAGGTGTCTGATCCCCCCTTTCTACTGCGAGTTTCCGAAAAAGAGAGTCCAAAAGACAGAGGTATTAGTCACCCTGTGTCCCCAGTGTTTAGTGCAATATTTGGCACATGGAGGGTACGATATCTTAGCTAGCATTTTGTGCTGAGTTCAGTGTCACAGGTCTGAGTGGTCAATGATTTTTCATATGACACAGGTAACTCGATGGCAAAGTAAATTTTCTCAGGAGAGAAATTGGGAAAGGTTCAGAGGATGCCTGGCCACAGCCCAGAGGACAAAGGTTCAGAGCCTGACTTTAATCCTCACATGTGTGCTAGAGGACTACTTCATATCCATATTGGTTTTTGGTCCAGAAAACTCATGAGTCAAAAACCAATATCAGTGAAGGATAGTTCAAATTTTAAGGTCTATATGTGTTGAGATGTGGCAAGAAAACAGAGGAAGAAAAAACAGACAGAAATGAGATAGAATGAAGCAGGAAAAAAGTAGAAATGGAAGAAAAAGCCATTATGTTAAGGTAGAAAACGGAGTCAAATAGAACCGTGCAAGCAAAAACCTGAGTGGGAATAAATGTCAATAGGGAATTAGAAAATTATAGCACTGAAGATCCATAAGTGTCCTGGGAGACTGTCCTATGCATCACAGGGTATCATATGATTTCCAAAATGTTTACAGCTAAACACAACAGACAGCAGAAGGTTGAGCTTCTACTGAAAGGTAAAAGATGACCAAGCAAGAACAGTGATTTCGACATCTTCAGTACCTATGCCTGATGCATGAAAGTCCTCTCTGGAGAATGTATTGGTCATCCTTAGGACCCTTCTTGACCCAGTGCATTCTTCCCACCTCCGCTGCAGATCCTCCTGCCTTTATCTGATTCTCTTTCTTTTCCAGATTACCACCTTCTGATTAGCCCCTTACAAAGTTGAATCAGTTGGAAAATCTGTCGGATTGAATTTGAGGTTCACCCTAAGACATGGCCTTCTGTGTTTTTCTCCTTTCCTTCAAACCCTGCAGCCTGCTGGCAAGTAATACCCTCACCTTCATCTGTTCTAAACTCAGAGGACACAAGGGCCCCAGTGGAGTTCTCTGGATCTCCCCAACTAGTTATTTTGGAAAAATAACATCTTAAGATGTTTTAATTACAGGCATATGTTTACCTATCCGTGCACAATTTAATTCATGGAATAAACAAATAAGTTTGACAAACTGTTTCAGACACAATGAGTTTGGTGTAAATATGTGAGACTACCCTGTAGGCAGGTCAGTTTCTAGGCTAGTAGGCAGGTCTAGAGATCAGACAAACGTCTGGGTAGAAAAACCAATTGAGGAGCTACCAACCTCCAAGTTCTCCTGCCTGCCATCCTTCTCACATACTTTGTTATTTTTATAACACACATATATAAGCAGGTCATTGCCTACATACAAAAATCTGAATGACTAGAATACAAAAAATTAAAGTTTAAATGCTTCAACACGAGCATTCAAATGCCAAAACTTGGCTCTTTGTAGACTTTTCCATCTAATTTCCCACCACAGGCTTTCCATGGAGCCATGGCATCAGCCCATGCAGCCTTTAACTGCAAACATGCTTGGCAATATCCCACCTTCAGGATTTTGCTCAAGTTGTTTTCTCTGAAGGCCAATCTCTTCCTGAAGGCCCTTCTAAAATCCTTCAAGAAGAAAGACATTTTCTTGCATCTTATGTCTTTAATAATTAAATCTTCATCTACATAAAGCTGTTTGCACAAGTCTTCCTCTGTTTTATCAATATATTTACTAATCACCTTATTTCCAAATATTTTGCATCTCTCAAGAAATCAGTATTTAAGATTTTTAACATTTAAGACATAGTCTTCACCATTTGGTGACTTTCAAATAGTCAGTAGGAAAACGATTTGGCTCCTCTAAGAAGACTTTAATTACATAAGGTAATAAATCTCCATTAATTAGAGGCTCTGAATGAGAAATGGAGGTGAACTTGAGGGTACAGTTCCAAGTTCTACTATCCTATCCACCAGAACTGGGGTAAAAGAAAGGAAGTTACTGTTCATGATCCCAAAATAATGGGGGACAATTAAGAAAATGATTAATTAACTTAACAGATGACTCCAGGGACCTGAGCTATCCTAAGGTGAGGCAGCTATGACTTTTTTTCTGAGCTCTACAGGAAAGAAGTATTTGTGTAAAACACACACACACAGAGAAAATAAACCTAGCATATTTAATAGCATGGGATTTCAAGAGAATTTACTATGCTTAGAAAATAACCATCATTTCAGTACATGTGAGGTGTCACAGACATAGAAAAGAGAGTCAGAGATTGGAGCTTGAGTGAATTTGTAGACCACACTAAAATGCTGGCGTACTTTCGATCATAGGATTTTGTCTAATATTACATTATATTATATGCTTAGTTCCACTTCATTAAGGCTTCTCCTGGGGCTCAGACAGTAAAGAATCTTCCTGCAATGCTAGAGAGCTGGGCTCTATCCCTGGGTTGTGAAGATCCCCTGGAAAATGAAAGATCCGCTGAAGAAGGGAATGGCAACCCACTCCAGTATTCTTGCCTAGAGAATCCCATAGACGGAGAAGCCTGGTGGGCTACAGTCCGTATGGTCACAAAGAGTCAGACATGACTGAGGGACTAACATTTTCACTACATTAAAATTTTTTATAGATACTATCTTAATTACTATACATTCTATCAAATTGATATATAATGATTTGCTTAAAAATAACTTGGTTATTCCATTTTGTTTTGTTTTTACCCTTGTATATATTATAGCAGTTAACATCTTTGCAAATCTTTGCTTGTGATAGTCCATTGCTGATTGTTTTCTAGAAGAGGCAATTTTGAGGTAAGTGTAGAAACCTTTTAGGCTCAAAGAAGCCAGACATCATCATGGCCCTATTCCAGGCCCTCATCTTTTCTTAGATTAGAAAAATGTTGAGTTTCTATGACAGCCTACTAATTAATCTCCCTGCTTCCAGTCCAGCACCCCCTCTAATCCATTCCCTACATTAAGCCAAAGTAAACTTTCCAAAATATAAATCTGGTCCCATCCTCCCTACTAAACTTCATAGAATATCTTCTTAATTTGTCATGTATAAAACATCCAAATCTAAGAACATTTTGAGACTTTAATACATATTACCAAACTGCTTGCAGGAAGGTTGCCATAATTCATACTCCAACAAGCAGTATACAAATTATATGGATCTTATCATGCCCTCGCCAACAGATGGTATTCTCATTTGTTGCACATATTGTAATGATCTATTTGCCTGCCTCTCCCATTAATTCATTAATTAGTTACAATCAGGAATGCTGTCCTATCCATCTTTGAATCATAACATCCAGTGCAATATAAGTGAGCAATGAATGAACACTACCTAACTGAAGCACTTCATCAGTATGGAGAATTTAAGAGCCTTTTGTCCTTTACTCTGCTGAGATTTGAGGTGAGACAGGGTCAAGACCAGGAGTTGAGAGTTCAAACAAGGGTTGGGGCATCAGACACAACCAAAGGTCAAAGTAGGTAACATGGTAACATAAGCCATTAGTTCAGGGCATCTCACAAACATTGCTGGCCTATAGATTATTCCAGTCTTGTTTTAGATTCCTAAAAACACACCTTGTTTGTGAATAACACATAGTTTTTTGACTGAAAAAGCCAGGTGAGGAGACCAAGTGATCTAGCCCCATTTTACTCCTTCAGGTGAGTCTTGCTAAGTTGAGGAAAGTCTTTCTATTAAAAGGAACTGATGCCAGTTTCATATGCAAGGCTGGCAGTGCACAGGGAAGGCTCATTTATTGCCAGGAGGCGCTTCATGAATATGAACCCTCCCTAGAATTGTGTGTCTTTCAGACTTTAACATGTAGACAACTCACTGGGGAATCTTGCTAAAATACTAGATTCTGATGCAGAAAACCTGGCTTGGGTACTGCTATTTTGCATTTCTAACAAGCTCCTAGGTATTGCTGTTGCTGCTAGTATGTAGACCATGCATTGTTAGTAGGACGACTCTAGCATATTTTCTATTTCCTCATCTGCTTAAGGAGAATTTTACTACTTACCCCCAAAACACTGTTGTGAGACTTAGATATCAAAAGTCTAACCAATTTACCTGGTTCTGTAAGTATGTCATTGATGCCCTGGAAAGGATGAATCAGTAATTCTACAATAGACATGTTTCATTGTTGCCAGTGGGCCTCAAACTTGGCTACACGTTAAAATCCTCTGGAGAGCCTTTAAAACATACTGATGCTAGGACCCCATCCAGACCAATGAAACCAAAATCTCTTGTGATAAAAAGCAAGCATGGGTAATTTTATGAAGCTGCCCTGGTGACTTTACTGGACAGTCAAGGGTGAGTCAATTCTATATGCATCCCCATCAACTTTCCAACTGTTCCAAAATTATTGGAAGTTTTTAGTTATTTGTGTCATTAAGTCTTGGGGCTGTTTTAAACTTTTCATATGAGGTGACTGTGTGCTGATGAATTGAGAGTACTCCTGAATTCTGAGTCTGGGGCTCCAGACCTTCCTTATGTACACCAGGCATTTCAAACAGCTAGAGGAGCACACCTTTTGAAGATTCACTCAAGTTTGGGGGCGTGTGTAGGAGTTTCCAACCCAGCTGAACATCAGAAACCAGACCTACCTCTAAGGTTTCGCACAGATTCCCAGGCCCAGCAGCGGGTAGGCAAGGTTATGATATCTGGCTGGCATTTTTAATTCTTTTAAAAATGTTTCTTGGTAATTCTGATGCTCCACCAAATTTGAAATCAAAACATAAATACTTGCTGGATAAATAGAAAATGACATTCATCAAGGAAATACTAAGATAATGCCTTTACTAGAAAACAAAGGTCTAGTCATAATTTTAATACCCCAAATTATAGTTGTTTCACTGAAACCAGTAAACTATTTGGTCTCAAATTCTCCCAGAATAACATCACTTTTTACCTAATTTGGAGGATTCTGCCAACAGTTCCGTTGCGTGACCAAGGATGGTTCTGTTGTGTGATCATAGTAACAAGGCTGTATGACACAGTGCTGCGTGACTAATAGTGACCCAGTGCTGTGACCAGTCTAGACTCTGAGAAACACTTGAACCTCCTTTGACTGTGACCTTAGCTTTGTTGTGGCACAGCCTTTTACATCTTGTATATATATTGATAGTCCTCATAGGAAAAAGACTCCAAAAGGGTTCTGTTGTGCTTTAACTATAAAGTACTCTTTAAAGAACTTTCTCTTTTATGGGAAAATCCAATTGAAGTGTCCTGTGATGACCAAATATAATTATTTACAGAGGAGTATATTACTTCAGAAAGTATAAACCACCAAAGACAGGGTCCTTGACCTAAGAAGCTTAAGCTTTAAGATAGGGGTAAACAAAAGTAAGATAACAGTAAAACAGAGTTAGTCTCAAGGCTGAAGACAGATCAGCCCAGGAGACCGTGGGGAAGTAGAGTGACATTATCCAACTCTAGCGCCTCATGAAACAGATTTGCTCCTAGAAAACCCTAGTAACTTTGGGACCCAAGAATAGGGCAGAACTTGAGGCTTTCATTTCTTTCACGGGGAAAGTTGACAGCAAACCGTCAAAGGCTTGTTTTAGCTTTTGCTAACATTGTATAGAGATTTATTGCTATCTGGACTAGGCTGACCTCTAATTTGGTTCTGAAAATCTTCTGGGTGGATATTTTTTATGATGCCAAGACTTTGCCATTAGTCCATTTAACGTTGAATGCTTCCTTTGTTAGGTTCAAAGGTTGATTTTTAATTTAATTTACTTTTTTACTAATGTAGCCTAGTATACCACACTGCTGCTACTGCTGCTAAGTCATTTCAGTCCTGTCAACTCTGTGCGACCCCATAGACAGTAGCCCACCAGGCTCCTCCGTCCATGGGAGTTTCCAGGCAAGAGTACTAGAGTGGATTTCCTTCTCCAATACAACACTAAATATGACCAAAGTTAATGAAATGCTTACAAGTCTCAACTTCGTTTGCAAATAGTCTTTCTGAGTATTCTGGCTTTGGCTCCTTAACATCAGTATCGGAAGGAAAATACAATCAAATCCCTAAGTGATATTTGGTCATTAATAGTTTAATGTGCGTTTTTTTTTTCCTTCCAGGTTTTTATTTCAGAAAATAAATCCTGGATTATGTTCTCAAAGGAATTAGAATGATTTTTGTGTAT